AGCTTTTCATGGCTTTGATCGATCCGTGAGGATGGATTTGCGGGGCGGGTAGGACTGGATCGGCAAATTTGGGCAGCACACGGTTAAGAGGAGACCAGGTTTTGGAACGTTCCAGGCCACATCCATTGAACGGATTGAAAACCTACAATAGTCTGCAACAGTAAAACAAAAATCAAAAGACGTTAACTGGAGTTGCAACTCCGCTTGCAACAATCCTTTGATAGGAGCTACAAAAGGAGCTACAACAAATTTGATAAGCTACAACAATCCTTTGATAGGAGATACAATAGAAGCTACAACAAATTTGATAGGAGCTACAATAGAAGCTACAACAAATTTGGTAGGAGCTACAACAATCCTTTGACTGGGGCTACAATCATAGCACAGTGTGGTTTTAGTTGTGGGTGATTTAAAGGCCTCTTAGGTTTGATGTAAATACGCCACTGGGAGGAATACCCAACAAAAAAGTTGTTTAAAGTGATAGGAAAGCTAAAAGTGATAGCAGTATGACAGGTGGTGGTCAAGACATCATCCAGACACCATTGATACTGCTGGTAGGATAAGCCACTGCGGATTGCTAGTAATGCACCTAACTAAACTCTCAGGAAAAGTATCATACATGGCCACACACTTAACACATGCACAACTGAATTTATGATATTGCGATAGAACTGTATCATTCACGTTCTTGACGAAAAATTACCCTGCGTTTCAAAAGCAAACACCACATGTTTTCCATCAATAGTAACCAGCCCGGTATTAAATTTTTGGTGCTCTTTTATCCATGCTAGTGAACATTTTGTAACGCTGCTAGATATGTTGTTAGGTAATTTTTTAAAAAGATTTGATCCAAACCTCTTGAATGGATGGATTTCCGGGATCAGAGCTCACGCTAAGCAGTGCTCGTTGTGTGAGCCCTGACCCCTACCATCCGATCGCGCAATCCATGTCAACGGCAGAATTTGGTGGCGAAAGCTTGACGTGCCGCAATGCTCGGCACGGTCCGTCCTGCTCTCTGACGTCAACTGACCTTTTAGCGCGACCGCTGCCACCGGCCGCAGGCCATACCTGTCAACGGCAAATAGCGAGCGCCCTAAAGCGACTCGACCCACCCCGCCACGGGTGGGTGGATGGGAAGGCAGGCGCTCTAACCAACTGAGCCACCGGGACGGACAAAATTGAAATTGATGGCGCCTTTACATGCTATTGTATGACTCTAATTGGGCAACTACTAGAAAAGACAAGAAAAAAAACATGAAATGCATGTCGGCTCTCCCCACCTCAGGACCAAAGACGCCTCGAGCCTTCCAACAAGTTGCGATTATCCAAGTCCTTGATGGGTACACCAGCAAAATGACAAAGGAGCAGACATATGAAATGCCACATTTCATGTCACATTTTTTTGCGGAGCCACGTCAGACCGATATTATGAAATATTATTCCGACAGTGTCCCCCCCTCCCCCCCTACAATAAGCTTAGCCGCTGTACCCAGGATCCATTTAGCTGACAGAGACAGGGAGTTCAATGCAGACCGTGTTTTCTGCTGAGGTGATCAAGATAGAAAACACGTTGGGGTCATGTCCGAGGAGAGATACCAAGTTTGTTTGGGTGACCACTGTGCGGGTGAGGCCGCTGTGAGGATGCCCTGCACTTTTCAGGCACCACAACTTGCGAGGACAGCTGGGGAAGATGCCTTCAGTTTGCATGTTTGGAAACATATCAGCACTCCAACAGCATTGCATAAGCAGCGAGCGAGGCGCCACTTACTGTGCTCCAGAATCTGTTATATCTCAATGTGTGTAGCATTTAAAGAGCACCGTGAGAGCTTGCACATGTATTATGTCACAGCTTTTTTAATAAAAAAATGGCATACTGTATTGAATCGTCGTGTATGCCTCTTGACAGCCAGCTCTAGGTCTGTTAGGAATTCTGAAATGCATAGCACTGCTACCTGCTTTGGAGCTATACAAGACAGTAGTATTAGCCTTATTCCTCGGAGAAAACCAGGAAAATGGAAATATAGTTGGGTCGAAATTTCGGGACCATGCCTTCATTGAAACAATAGCAGAAAGTTATTGAAGACTTCTGCTATTGCGATTGAAGGCATGTTGCGGAAATATTAACCCAACTATATTTCCATTCTGCTGGTTTTCTCCGAGGAGTAAGGCTAATACTTCTGTCTTATCTCTGTGAATAATGTTCCTTGCTAAGGCACTGAACAACTTGCTTTGGAGCTATTCAATTTCACCCAGGCATTGATCTCCCTTCACTGAGTCTATATCATCCTTGAGGGTTGAGGGTATTAAAAACGAATACAGGATTCAGAGCGCCAGGCTTGTGTACGAGCTATATGCTTGACTGTACTTCCATGCCGACCAAGTTAATAATAAGTTCATTAATTTGTAGCAGCTGCTTCTTGCAGCCCGTCAGAATGGCTCAAAGTGACTTGTTAATTGCCTGGCTTCTGCAGCCAACCACAATGCTGATATTAAGCTTGATAAATAGGAGCAATAAGTTGTGTTCAGGTGTGTCACGTTTGTCTGCTTATGATGGCAATAAACAACTCAAATCGGAAATGGTGCGGATTTCTATAAACATATTTTTGCTAAGCCGGACCAAACCGGATTGCATCCATAAGCTTCAAAAGCCCGGATTTGTGAGCGGTTTGAATTCTGGAGAGCCGGACGGGAGTAGGCCAGATTCTAAAAGCTCAACTCGTGAATGACTAGCGTTCAGGTCTTGCATGCACACTGAAATAACCTGGTGTTTCGTCCTTGTTGTTCGAGAGAATGCTGCGAAACATAAGCACGACAAAACGGAAGGAGGTTCGAGCTGGTGGTCAGCTCCATATGGTCGGAGCATTGCACAAATATTGTAATGTCATTTGAATAAATGATAGCTATAAAATTGCAGCTAATAATTTAAGGCCCGAAGAGAAAACGACTCGGGAAAAGGGAGACACGTATGATGGCGTGGGAGACACCACATGTTTCTACGCATATCAGTCAAAGAAATTGTGATGGGTACAGTAACTTTGCCTGGATGAGAAGCCAACTTTAACTGTTTACAACACATCATTCAAGTGAACAAGGTTTAGTTAAGATTTAGAGAAATGTTGAGACAATACATTAGCATTATGGGTGAAATAATCGTTCGGATTATCGATATGATTAACACCTGACGCCGTTCGGAGAGTTAACTAGTCGAAGCGTGTATGCATACCACACCAGACGAGTGCGTTAGTTCAAAGAATTACTCAATCCGATTTGGTTATTAAATTCACTGACAAAATATCTACCAGCATTTCTGGCCCAGTTCACGGTGTGCCGTAAAGGTCGCCGAAGTAAGTGATGCTCATTTTTATCTCTGCTATCACACCAACTATTCAAAAAAAATTGCCATCAAGGTCATTATCAAGATATTATCAAAAATACTACCACCAATACATCATAATATGAAATGCTATCTAATGCATTATCAAGTGTAATATAATAAAAATGACTAAGTAACTAACTATGCTATCAATAACTTTTACTATTCAGCATTTTTATCGACTAGCATGCACGGGGCGTGCGACTTAACATTATCCCAACTCGCAAGCTAAACTCGCAGTTCAATGACGAGAACTAAACATTCCCGATGATGAAACGGCCTGCGAGCTTCAACAACAACCAGCAGGGTGTTCTCCGCAGCCCGCGCGCTTTCCCGGGCGCCGTTCCTATCATCTGCACCTGCTGTCTTCCCTGCATAATCAGCGGTCACCAGATGCTCATGCTCCCAGCGAGAGCATGAATAAGGCCGCCTCCAGGCTGACGGCTCCCACATGCCGGAGCCGAGCTGCTGTTCCACCAAACGAATATGGTGGTCTGAGCTGCAAAAAAGACTTAGCGTTTCCCAAAAAAATCAAGACGGGTTTGTCGCCGAATTTGATCTACATCCTTCACAAAGTTGTGGCGGGGAAGAGTCCTCCAAGAGCATGATAATACACATTCCTCCCTCATGCGACACTTGTCTATCGTTTCGCTCAACTTTTCGCAGATGAACGATTCCGCTTTCGAGAACCTCTCGTGTCCCACGCGCTCACTTTCTGTCCTGGTGTTGTGCACGGAAAGGGAAAACGCTGGCTCATACTTAATGTCACTGATGCGGCGCGCGACGACTCAGTGGTGTTCCACGTTAGAGTACAGTTAGACGCACTGAGTTTGAATACCGCTGAAGCTCTGGATGTACCCGTTTGAAGATAAGAATAATATGACAATCCCAAACAGCGCATTGATTTATATTGAGTATGTACATACACTGTTCCAACATCCACAATTTGTCGGGTTTCTTGCGATCTGGCCTCATAAGAAGCTCGCAAGGGGTTCCAACATCGCAGCGCTATGGCTGCCGGAGGTCCCCAAACAACATCGTTTTGACCACAGCGTGAGACAGAACACAAAAGCTCACCAACGCACCACACACCGTGCGCCACGCCCACCACACACGCAGTGCTATCTCTGCCCAGTACACACGAGCGTACAGTGTTTATGCTTAGACTGTCAGCTCGGGATTCGCTGGAGTCGACCAAGCACGCGCCGTGATGCAAGAAGCACCTCGGTGTGGCCCAGAGAAACAACAGCAAACCATTGCGCGAGATCGCGACAGCGCAGTATTGATATAAACAGTACTCAAGTGAAGACAGTGGCGGATTGGCATTTTGATTGCGTCAGACGTGCCCGAAGTCAGGCCAACGTCAAAGTCAAGGTATGGAACGAAACACGCTAAGAGAAACAATGTGGGAATCCTGCCTGAAAATAGAGTACTTTCAGCCGCGAATGAAGCGGAATGAAAACGACATTGTTGTAACCTTACTGTAGCGCATGGGGTTGGGCCCTGCGCGTTACAACGACGTTACAGCCCCGCGCAACGTGGCAACAAACCAAAGCCGAACCCCATGGCACTCCTGCACACATTCTGAAACAGAGCGCTGTTAACAGCGCACACAGCGCTGTGTGTGCTGTGTGCCAGGCCGAGTCAGCACGGGACGTGATGCGGCACATGCAGCGTACAATGGCTGCCGTACATGTCACGTGGCTGTACACAAGGGCTGAGGTACAATGGCTGGGGGTGCGAACTTCGAGACTGTCTTACAGCTACAATGCTGCAAATGCGCTGAGACTGTACAGCAGCTGAGGTTGTATCGGCACAGCAGCTTAGGTGCCTGTTCAGCAGCTGAGGTTGTACCGGTACAGCAGCTGAGGTGCCTATACAGCAGCTGAGATTGTGCCTGTGCAGCAGCTGCAGAAGCCAGGCGCGCAGGGACGGAGACTCCAACCTTAAGCGACCAGCTCGCACCTGAAATTAGTGCATTTGAAAAAATCAGTGAAATGCGCCCACACGTAGCAAAGCATTTAAAGTCAAGGGTGACATCAGCAGCAACCCTCAGAGCCAGCGTTGCTCTTCAGAACGCATTCATGGCTATTTTTGTTTCATTTCGTTTGTAAATAAACATCTACTTGCCCTTAAAGGGACCGAGGCTATCACCAATAAGTTTTCCATTTTATTTTTTTTATTAAAGTAAGCGGAACATTGCAATGCTAAAAAATACATTTTCCACCTCAGCAAACGCTGGTGTGGAACCAGAAAGTGCCTGTGCTCTGCCAATCTAACACTCCCCCCTCTCCCTCCCCCACTCCTTCCATGCCGACCTGCTCCTGACCTCTACTGACCTCTGCCCTGTGCGCGGAGTCCGTCCGGACCGTCTACTGGAAGTTACCCGCCACGCCGATGTCACCGATGAGAGGCGCCCCATCCGGTCCCGCCTGGGGCAGGTTACTCCGCACGAACACGGGGTCGATGGCATCATTCACCGGCAGCTGGCGACGGAGACGAGGCCAGCAAATTACCAGGACCGTCTTGACAGTGCTCGTGGTGTGTCCAATGACTGCATGATGTCATTACACAGCAGAGCATAGCATGCAAGATATTATTGCTCCCATGCTTTGTGGAGTTATTCGGCAAATTTTTAACCGTGCACTGACAAAAGTATCTGACAAATAACCAAACGAGTTTATGTAAGGGAAACAAGTGAATTCAGCGTCATGCCTGCAATGCGGGACATAACGGGCGTTGACTGGAGTTCGGGCGTGGTAATATGGCCCAAATGTAATGTTCTGGACGCAAGAACTTGACAAATAATTGTAGGTTTATCACAACGGTGGATAGGTAGCCCGTGCTGCACCAAAGTCACATAGCCCATACAAAATAGCGGTGTTTTATTAACGGCAGGTACGATTGGAACGACGTGGGACTGGATTTACAGCAGGCAGGACTAGGCCCTCTGTGAAGGTCAACAGCTGACATAGGAGTGTCATAGAGTGAAAGTTCTCTCTCTCTCTCTCTCTCTCTCTCTCTTCTCTCTCTCTCTCTCTCTCTCTCTCTCTCCACTCACCTGAATGATCGACGAGTCGGACGGGGGACCGTAATCGCTGTTGAGGTTCGCACCGCTGCCACCAGATGGCAGGCCAAGCGAAACGCTAGGCGTCACCAGCTGCAGGCACAAAGGGTTATGTCAACTGACGATGAAGTCAGAGAAGAGCAGAATCGGTGTACATGTGCATAAAAAACAGACGGCGTGCTGCACCAGTCGCCGTCACGTTTTGCCCCTGGATGCCGGCAGGTTGGCACACACCTAGACGCGCGGCCAGGATTTCGCGCCGGAGGGGGTCAAGGGGGTCAAGGGGGTCAAGGGGGTCAGGGGGTCGGGGCATTAGGAGTCAGGCGCGGCCAATATCTCAGGATCAGCAGCATGGACCCACTTCAACACCATAAAAACTGTCTTCTATTCTGAGGACTTGCTAAGGCTCGTGGTCCCCTTAAGGGGCCTTGAAAACATCCGTTTAAAATGTGTTAGAGGACCCGCTGAGGTCTTAAATTGCAAAAAGCACCGAGGCCCTCGGGCTCAGAAGTCTCTGCCACCTCCAGAGGGGGGGGGGGGTATATCCCAAAAACCAATCTTCTTCACTGCACACACCTGCTGCTGCTGGGGAGCCGAGTAGATCTGGCCACCGGAAATCGAGCCCTGGTCGACAATCGACGATCCTCCATCAACAACCGACGATCCGCCGTCGATGATCGACGTTCCGCCGTCGATGATCGACGTTCCGCCGTCGATGATCGACGATCCGCCGTCGATGACGTTAGTCGACACGCCGATCACCGTCGATCCGCCGTCGATGGAGCCTCCCGTGCCGACGACTTGGTCGGGGCCGCTGTAGGACTGATCGATGGTCTGGACCGGACCACTGTAGGACTGGTCCACGGTCTGAACCGGGCCACTGTAGGATTGATCCACGGTCTGGACTGGACCACTGTAGGATTGGTCCACGGTCTGGACTGGACCACTGTAGGATTGGTCCACGGTCTCGACCGGACCACTGAGGGATTGGTCCACGGTCTGGACTGGACCACTGTAGGATTGGTCCACGGTCTGGACTGGACCACTGTAGGATTGGTCCACGGTCTGGACCGGAACACTGTAGGATTGGTCCACGCCAACCTCGATCACGGGGCCCAGTGACTGGGTCACAGGTTGTGGCTGTAAAGGGTGAAGAGCGCTGCAGTCAAATATCGGGCTTCGACGGCAACGTATGCGTGCAATATGCCTGAGGGTCCAAGACTTTGTTACAATTGCATGTACCAGATGTTCAAAGTTCAAACCAACAGTGTATGCGTCACGGGTCTGGCGGCCGTGCAAAACTGCGAGTTTTACAGCTGCATTTTGAAGTAGCTGCTAATGCCTTCAAAGCTATGGATGTTTACTTTGGCAGCGTAGAATAGCACAAAACATCACCCCACGATGAATCACGCATCTAACGTATTCGGCGCACGTTGAAGCCCCGCCCCCAGCGCCGCCACCGGCGCTTGTCTGGAACCAGTAGCTCACCACTCGGCCGCTAGGGGCGTAGCTTTGGCTGAGGTCGGGAGCCTGGATCTCGTGAATCGAGACAGGCACCGGAGCCTCGTTACGAAGGCCCGGGAGCCGGAGCCGAGTAGCCGGAGCCCGGGGGTGCCCGCGACGCCGACCCCTGCGGCACGAGGAGAGGGTGTGAGCGGCCGAAGATGTACGCTGGAGAGAGGGGACCGCCGTCGGGACGAAGTGATGCTGGGAGCTAAGGCCAGTGGAGGCCAGCCCGGCGCGGTTCAGGTGGTGCAAAGGTGCTGCGGTGCGATTAAAAGAGGACCTAACACCATCCAAGCACCTGACTCTCTTCTTGTCCCCTATCAACTGGTGGCATGCATCACACATTCAAATAACTGTATCTTCAATAAAACACCATGCATTCGAATGTCTCAAGGAGCTGGAGACCACACCTGCGCAGTGGGAGAGGACATATCGCTGTCACGATGTAATCGGCCGGTATCATTTTTCCTTGTGAGTACATCATCTTTCGGAAGATTATGCATGCATTTCCTGGCTAAGGTAGCCAAAGACAATGTTGGCCAACAATACCGGGACATAGCCTCCGGCACGGATGGCCTTGTAGATTACATGTATTATATATATATATATATATATATATATATATATATATATATATATATATATGACCCTATGTCTTATATGTGCGAGTGCTGTGATGAGTATTACCTGTGATGATCTGCGGATGCGGAGCCTCGTAAGCACCGCTGATGACACCACCGTGTCCACTTCCACTGTGTCCACTTCCACTGTGTCCACCTCCGCTGTATCCGCCCCCGGTGTGTCCACTTTCAACGTGTCCTCCTCCACTGTGTCCACCTCCGCTGTATCCGCCCCCGGTGTGTCCACTTTCAACGTGTCCTCCTCCACTGTGTCCACCTCCGCTGTATCCGCCCCCGGTGTGTCCACCGTCATGTCCACCGCCTGTGAAATCGGCAAAGGCTGTGTCACTGCGTTCCGTTGGCTTGTGGGTCTCACCATGGACAGCGCGCATTGAACGACTATGCGCGCTGTCCATGGTGACGACCAGCGGCTGATTTTACCTCAGAATTATTCAGACGCGACGTCGGGAGAGCAATTACGGCCGTTTTTAAACATTGAAATGCAGCCACGGAAGAGCGCCAGCCATCCTCGAGCAGCACTGGAGCGGCCCGGGTCGGTCTCACCCGACTTTACGACAGAGGTCAGACCCCACAACACGACGCCGTGGTCCTCAAACTGCACCAGGAAGTCCGAGCCGATCCCTGTGGTTTCCAAACGTGGACGGACTATCTGAGCCCGGACCAGCGCTGTTCAATCAGCCATCGCTACTCAGCCAGGGGCCGGCCCTTTCTCACCTCCGTGTCCGTGAGGGGCTCCGTAGGCCGCTGGAGGGAGTCACCGGCGGGCCGTAGCTGGGCGCTGGTGGGCCGTAGCTGGGTCTGGGCGGACCGTAGCTGGGCTTAGGCGGGCCATAGCTGGGCTTGGGCGGGCCGTAGCTGGGGCGGGGCGGACCATAGCTGGGCTTAGGCGGGCCGTAGCTGGGCCTGGGCGGACCGTAGCTGGGCTTAGGCGGGCCATAGCTGGCCTTGGGCGGGCCGTAGCTGGCCTTGGGCGGGCCGTAGCTGGGGCGGGGCGGACCGTAACCATGCGATGGCCTCACTTGGATGTAACCACTGCCATGACCTCCACCCTTGTGGTGACCTCCGCCCTTGTGGTGACCTCCACCCTTGTGGTGACCCCCGCCCTTGTGGTGACCCCCGCCTCCGCCGTAGCTGTGGCTGCCGCCGCCGTAGCCATGACCGCCTCCGCCGTAGCCATGGCCGCCCCCGCCGTAGCCGTAGCCGCCGCCGTAGCCGCCGTGGCCCCTCTTGCCGAAGCCGAAGAGGCTGCCGAAGAAGGCCTGCGTGCTCGCCACTACTGCCAACACTGTGAGCGCCTGGAACAAGGAGTTGAGGGATGAAATATTCCAGTTGTGGACCGCAGTGAGATGTGTGAGAGGCTTTCTCACATTGCTACCGGCGTTTAAGCAACCAACAGCTGACATCTGTCAACGCCTGAATTTCAATTCGATGACGTAGTGGTATGACGGAGCGCCGAAGCTTTGAACTAGGTTATTAGGCGCTGCGGACAGCCCCTCTTTCTTTTATAAAAGTGATGCACTGAGGTTAAACACGCGTTTTTGTTGTTTTCTCCTTCAAATTTGTCATGTGTGAGGATGGCACTAGTGCCTTCGGTGCAGATTAATTGTTATTTGGCCTTTTGGATTATAGGAGTGGTGTCGTAGAAGTTTTGTACGCTGCTTGCGTACTATAACTATTCCTTTTGTTAAGATTTTTCTGATAAAATGGCTCAAAAGAGAAGCAGCAAGAGAGGAAGATGATGAGCCAAATTTGCTTGGTAAGCCTTAAACGCCTACAAAGCAAATTACATGCACGATACACTACGTATGATAAGCGGCCGAGGACGTCTGAAGGCCGTTTCAAGCTCTCCATACAAACTCTAGGTAAGCTGATTATGATGGTGATGCACACCAGGGTTTTTCATACAATTCGTGGAAATGCTTCTGCCTCAATTAGTTTCTTCCTTGCTCTTACTTCATAGCATTTTTTTTTCACAAATGACACTGATCTGATTGGGACGAAAAGCGCTTGTGACATTGTCGATGTCAAGCGTTGTCGCATATCTACTGACATCACCTTGAAGGCTGCTAAATGACAACACAGCCGTCGTTGTACGGCAACGCGGCCGTTTCATCGATCAGCAGCGATAACTCAATCATCACTTAATATGCAAATGAAGATTATCCACTACGAGTGCCGTTCCTGCAGCATCCTCGCATCCCTACAGCACCTGCATAACCAGTCTGGTATCCCAGGGCACGACCGCTCTAACCCGGCCTAAGCTTTCTCTGCCACACCCTACGGACAGCATGTTCAGCCGGCAGGACAGCTCAACATTGCGTTTGCTGCCGCGATGCGACGGCTGCGGTTGCACACCCCTCGCATGTCATTTGCATGGCAGTTTCGCAAGCGTCCTCATGTACGGCCGAGGTCCGGTTATGCTGCGTGTGTGTGTCGTGCAGGGGCTGCTAGCGCAGGTAGCCTGCGCCGGCCCGACCCCGCCGACCGGCCCTGTCAACTGAGGTCGTCTCTCGGTGTTGAACCGGTGCCGCTTTGAGCCGCCGCCGCGTACTGCAACAGCTCGTGAGCTGCGTTCTTACACAGGACGACTTTCACCCCGACGGAGCGGGTGCACGTGTCCTACGAGAGGGAGGGGAGTGCACGTGGAGTTCTGGCAGTGCCCCCTCCCCCTCAGCGGGGCGCAGGATCGCCCCGCGCGCTGATCTTCATCAGGGTGCAGAGTTTTCAAGATGCAAACATAGACGTCCCCAGCGCAACCTAGCAACACGTTGCACACATTTCTGCAGGCACGCCCGCCTCAAGCTACTTGGTCGCGTTGTGGACTTACCCGACCCGTGTCAGGCGATGTCCTCCCACCCGGTTCAGCTCCTGTTCTGGCCTTTGAGCATTGTGCGTCGCAAAAATTGGACATGCATGCATCGGTTACCCTACTGCTGTATGTCAATGTGGTATCCTAATGCAGTGGGCAAGCGTGCATGCCTGAGAGGCCGGAAAAACATGATCCCACATACCTCATACGTCTAAAATAGTGCATTTTGATCACAACAACACAGTTCTTTGTGTGTCGCTGTAAATAAAAGGCATGATTTGTACCTTGTTCATGAGTAGCATTCATTACTGCCCCACCAATATACAATATTACCACAAAATAACCTCTTTGTACGACTTGTTCACTGTCCAATTATCCAGCAACGTAATGGAACATCACAAAGTTTTGGTCCCCTTCCCACCACTGTCCACCTGCCTAGCGGTATCATTTTACTCCATGCATCAGCGACTAAAATCCAGTTCGGCCCCTGAATTAACAAACGCAACTTCGGCACTGACGGCTGTCACCGACAAGTTCGGTGATTTGTATCATCAGCGACTGCTGGCGCGCAACAGCCGGGGGCGCATGCCGCGCGCGCCACCGCCCCAGGTCCGGTGTCGGAGCGGATCAGTGGGATCGGCCTTGAACTTGACCCACTGCCCCGCCGCCCTCTGTCAGAGCCCGAAGGTAATTGGATTGAGACGTCTATATGGCCGTGATGAGAGGTGCTTGGGTTCATGGCCACTTAAACTGCGGCGGTTATTTTGCTTGGCGCAGAGCGACGAATGGAATAATCATAGTTTTAAAAAGAACTAACGGAGTAAAACTGTAACGGTTGCGTATTGGCCACACTTCAAGACGCAGTTTACCCTGCTCTCCGGGGAATCTCGATCACCTAGCCGCAGACGTAGAGCACCATTATCCGTGGCTCACGTACTAGCTGAGTGTCGGAACTACGAGATTGAGGGAAACCGTTGTCTTAAGCTGAATCACATTCTCCAGGCCTGTCTGTTGGATGATCCTCCGTAGCTCCATGTGCGAGCAGGTTTGGTCTTTTTCGGAGCTATTGATTTCAGACTTTTATATTCGCCTACCGAGACAATTGGCAGGTGGGCCACATGGCCTGCATGCGATTTGTTTTTCTACGCCGTACGTTTCCGGTGCGCAGCTGACGAACTTTCTGAGTGGCCTAGGCATTGGTGACAATCTGCTGACATGGCTCCGACTATAGCTCTGTTGACATAGGCTCTTAAAACAAGACATCGGCGCAAATGTTACTGCAGTTGACGCGTCCGTGAAACTCCATAACTAAGTGCGTGCTCTATGAAAGATATGAGAATATGCAAATCTGAAATCGCTATCTGAAGGTAGCAAAATGGATGCATACAAATGTTCACGGCACGAGGGCCTACGTTCACACCTTGGCGGTCACTCTGGTACGGTCAGAAGCACCGCTCACCATAGGGTTCCTGTAATTGCCCTTCATAGCTCCACGCAACTCCACGTGCATCCCGCTCTTCTCCTAAAATTGGCTTCGTCGCCATCCTGAAGCCAACTGTGTCGTTTTCAGCCTACCATTCGCTCTGCCACGCTTTCGGGCGCGACATGCAACGGCTCCGAACGGATTACCAACATATATTGACCATTTGTCCGTGACTGCTCTGGTCTCTGGACATGTACGCGGTATGGCAACGACTTGCTTCGCCTTGAGCAAGGACTAACGATGCGCCAAGGCGCTGATTCTGTCACAGCGTCCAGCCCTACACGTCTCACGAAAGTGCCCTCCACAACGCACGAGTCCGGCTTGTTCTGACAGCTTCCCCACAAAGGAGCCCCCCCCCCCCCTCCGTCGCACCTGCCTTCCGTCCGATTTTGAAACACGCGCTTTAATCCCGAGTCGCGGACGTAATCCCCACTGTTTCAGCAGCCGGAGTGCGACGTGCGCTGGTAATCCTACCTGAAGCCCGGAGCGGGATGCTGCAGACACGCCTCTAAGCCAGCGCTAATTATGTCATTACTCTGCAGGCGAGCACAGCGTAACGGTCTCGCTTCGGCTGCGACTGACGTGAGCATTGTGTTACGCGGACCGTGGTGTCCGGGGCTGCTCGTAAACGTCTGGTATGCGTTCATTTTTGGGAGGTTGTGGTTTAAGCAAACAGGTTAGCAGTTACGTGATCCAGTGAAGCATGTAATGATCGTTTCGTTGATTCAATACATTTCAGTGACGTCATCCAGAGATCCAGTGTGATGGTCCACTGGCGGCATGGTCCATGTGGCTTAGTCAGTTTTGTGGATCGGCCGAACGTTAGATTATCCTTGTAAAATATACGGCTAAGAGGCCAACAGGTAACCATCTCCGTCACGGAGTGCCTGAGATTCTGACGTCATCATCTGACGTCATCATCTGACGTCATCATCTGACAGCATGGTCGATGTGGCCTATTCAGGCTAATGGATCGGCTAAACGCCAGATTATCCTTGTAAAACGTCCGGCTATGAAGCCCACAGACAAGAATCTCCGTCCCGGATTGCGTTGGCTTCGGACGTCATCAAATGAGATCGGCGATTGATCGTACCATTTGTCGAGCTGCTCCATAAACAATAGCGGCTTCCACTCTGCCATGGTTATCACATTGCATAAATTAGTTACGATATTATTCAATATTACTTTACTATATCATCACAATAGATATGCGATATTATGTTTGCGATATTATTATTTATTATCCATCTACGAATCATTTACGATTTGTATTACGAGGATTTTATAAACGCTGCATACCATGAGATGAGTGCGTGGCCAACGTAGCTTTGCTGTCATCACCTGGCGCACGACCCAAAGGTTGCGGGTTCGTCACGCACCGCCGTCACTTTTCAAATTCGTCCTACAATCAGCGTGCAAGATTGCTGCGCTTGCGATCTGAGCGTAGCATCGCATGTTTGAGCTCAGCTGACGGTCGGGAGCTAAGCCATGTAACCTGAGCCACCAGCCAGGGCGGCGTAGCACGTAGCACGTAGCACGTAGCATGCGTAGCACGGCTGATCGAGCGCCCTCCGGGGACCACGCTCGAGCCGAGGCGAGGTTTCGAGGCGGGGTTTCGCGCCTTGGTTGCACCCAGCGCTTGAGATCGAGACGCGGAGCGCCCTGTACGAGACGTCCTTCACGAGCTATCCGAAAACCGAGCCACGCCGCCTACACGCCATGCCCTGCCGGCTTCTGTAAGGAGCAAATACCACACCCACCGGCTCTGGGTTGTCAGCTCCGCCAAACCGCGGCAGGGTGAGGTCACTGTGGTGGAGGGTGAGTCCATTTCAGGTGCGCAGAGCGGGTCCATTGACGGGAAAAGACGTCGGGAATGAGGTGCCGACTGAGCGTCGGCTGGTTAATTGCCAATGAACGGGCGAAATGACGCTGCAGCGGCTTGTCGGGAGTCTTGACAAGGGCGTATCCAGGTAAGCGTAAATGGGAGTCTTGCAAGGGCTTAT